AGCCATGACTGGAAGCCTTCCAGTTCATGCTTACGTACTGGGAACCACACTGATGACAGAAAGCCGGCATAAATAAGGTCAAAGATTTCTCTCTTCCACAGATCAGTAGAGCAAGAAAAGATAAAAACAGCAACCCACCGAGGCGCCTCTCTGCTGTCTAGTACTATTTTCTTCCTACTTGACGTTCAATATTAAAATACCTACATAGGCATCTATCTTAAAACTCTTGCACAAGAAAGTGAGGCTCAATACATCGGGCCTTACTATTCTTAAATGCAGATGTTTCTGAATACTCTTGAATTTTATTTGAATTCCGAACATAATTAAGTCTTCATCCTAAAGGCATTATTTATTTTAGCACTATTCATAGCAACACTTCTTTCAAAACTTCAACATCAAGAAAGGCTACTCCCACCCATCATCTTGAAAAAGGGTCAAGAAAATTAGAAGAAAAATGGTAGTACATTCATTTTCCACTAAAAATCATGCATATGTTTTTTTCAATAATCCACCAGGGACTGACAGATAAGAACATCTTCATGCACACAAGTTGTATTTGCATTTATTCATCCTGTTTCTCCATTCTTGCCTTCCAAAACCTAAGCACACAAGGATGTAAGAGGGACATGGAAGTCATTAAAACTGCCAAGACAACATAAACTATTCTTCTCCAGCGTGTCTTACCCTGAGCCCTCCAAGTCTCATGAAAGCCACCATGCAGTCAACTTTTCTGTGATCTTTTTGATTCAAAGCCAGAATACTCCATGCATTATGCCCTCCTGCTGAACGCCTGGCAGATTTCCAAGAGAAAAAACTGCATAGTACTCACTTCTAGTAAGACCAGCAGTAATTTCCCTGCATGCTTTCTCTGTTAGGGCTGGAGGATGAGGCAAAAGGGACACTGACACTACTCACAGTTCAGGGTCTCAGGAGGGAGATGAAGGCCAAGGAGCACCACATTCATGCCAGTCCTGAATAGCCAACAGCTGGAAGTGAGCCCCACTCTGTGTTCAAAATATCCTTCTTTGCCACTTCCTGAGATCCTCATGGCTGTTCCTCTTCAGGAGCTCAGTGCAATGCCCAAAGTCAGTGGCCACCTCTACCAAGCCAGGGATCTGGCACTTACAAAACAAGCAGGGAAACTCTCATTTTACCAAACCAACTCACCCCCAAAACTATTCAGTTTCCCATCTCTGAGAAGGAGGTGGCACAGCCTCTGTGATGAAAAGCTAGAGCTCTTTATCCAGTTGCAGCAATGACACAACCCCAATGAAACAGCCTCCTCCACACCCTACAGTATCCTGGTGCCCGCAGATCCTGGACGTGATGTCGACTGCCAGCTCCTGTGCGGGTTTTCTGTTCCTCTAGCTACCATTTCATTATTGGTTCAAGTTTATAAAAACATGTGCAAAAAATGCAGTTCTGTAAAAAGAGAGCTTGGAGGAGTCAAACCTCATGTTTACCCCAAACATTTTAGCTCATTCAGAAGTTATTTTTTTATTGCATCTGGCAATAAATAATAATAATAATTTACTGGATGCACTGTTAGCTCTTTTCATAGAAATTGCAAGTGACAAAGACTGCTAAAGCACCCATTACTTAAAATAAATTCTACACTGTATCTCCAATTTCACCATGGGTATTTTGAAGCAACCCACACTTCTGTGGTATTTAGATGTCACTAAGACAACCACAGTGAGCTTTATGTTTATTTTGCATATTCATGCAAAATCTTTTTTCTTTCTTACTTTGGTCCTGTAAAAGTAAAAAGGTTCACACTGCTCTGTAAAAATAGGCCTTCATGTGCATCTCTAGAGCAAACTCTGTCACAGAACTGCATTTGCTCCTGACGTTGCTCGAGCCCCACTGACAGGCGTGACTGATCACATCGTTCGCCACAATCCTGGACAAAGCCCGAATGTTCACTACCCAAAGACACCATTCTTCAGGGATTCCTTTATTTGCCCACACAGGATTCTGTTGTTTACTAAAATAGAAACTAACAGCCAATATTTGTTCCTGTGAATTATCCAAACCTATGCACCAACCTACACCTATACATTTTTTATGTATTGCTAGAACAAAGCAGCTTTACAACTCAGAGCATTAACCCACAGAACCCTATTGCTCTAATAAACCTCCTGACACAGGCATTTAAACCTAAATTGTCTGAAATACAAAGGCAGGAATCCTCCCTGATACTCCTCTTGTCAGGGATTCAGGTGATATCAATGGTGACATGAAAATTAACAATTAGGCAGCATTTTTATCCTTAATCTTTTTACTTCTTTTTAACCAAAACATTATTTTTTTTAAGATAATGAAATATTAATAGATCACACAGATAACTGGAAAGATCAGAAAATCAGTCTCTGGTTTTATTTAAGGATGGGATTCAACTCCAAGGGCATTTTTCTGCCCCACTATCAGCGAAACTCATCTCTTTCCTATCTCAAGGACATTTTTCTTCAATTTCTATGTATTGTTACTTGGAATTTCAAGTATTGAGCATGAACTGGTAAACTGTTTCACAAGAAACTGCTTTGGAAAAATACCATCAGTTTCTGTATAATCAGTACTTCTTCTAAGAGATCTTTAATTTGTATCTTGAAAGTAAAATTACTGTGACCATACAGCTTCAGGGCCTGTTACACTGTACTGTTTCCCAGGCCACAGAGCCAGGGCACTGGTTCTTCCTAAGCTTTCACTGGTGCAAAGAGAATACAGGAGCCTACAAACAAACACCTATTCCAGAGGCTCAAGCTGTAACTGGCTGAGGAAGCACATTAATCATCACCCAAAGAGAATGCAGTAAGCAATAGGGAAAAGAATAGGGATAGCTCAAAAGATACCAACAACAAGCAAGCCTTCTGTCAGCTCCTCAACATTCAGTATAGTGAACTCCCAACATGTATCACATATATATAACAATTTCCAGTGAAAACCTGCTCCAGGTTTCACAAATCAAAGAACACACAAAATCCCTTGTGAAAGCTTGGAGGCTGAGCAGCCTCTCTTTCCAAAGTCTGTTCAAAGTTAGGTAGATGAAGAAGGCCAGGGGCAGGGAGAGGACCCCAGGAGGAATTCTGCCTCTTTTCAAATCCAGGCACCTACCAGCCTGCAGATGATGGAAAAGCGAGTTCACTGAGGATGCTTTAGGAATGGACAGCTGGCAGAAAAATCCCTGCCTCCCCTTTTCTATTATACGCCCTGGAAGGGGTACTCTCCCTGGGATAGCTCCTGCCTCCTGCTTTCCTGGGAGGTCTTCAAAGACTGGTTATCTTTGTTTAGGTACATATACACACTCTCTTAATATTCTCCAGATATAAGAACACACATATGGTGTTAGACAAAATAATACATACACTAATAAGGTGAAAAAAAGAAAAATCGGGCTGGAATATTAAAAAAAAAATCTAATCCGTTCAAAAATTTAGATGTGATATCAACATACACTGGTTAGCACATGTTGACTAAAACATTTTCACAGTAAAGCTTTAATGTAAAATAAATATCCTAGATATCAGTGAGGGGCCTGAACTTTATATACAAGTATATTCAACACCATCCTACAGCCAGTAATGATAAGAGCAAAGTTAAGTAAGCCAGTAATGGTAAGAGGAAATAGGGTAAGTCCACCAATAGCAAGGAAAAGACACAAAAGAAAGAAATACATAGTAAACTAATGTATTTCCTGCAATAGGAAAGAGAAAAGAAAAAGTCTTGATGTCATCTGAAAAGACTGTAAGCAAAAACAGCACAAAACATGCAACACAAAACTCTTCAATGCGCTTGTGACATGCAGATGCCTTGGTCAGGAGAGCATTTTCCTGGAATTTCTGGGTGTTGGTCTGGCATTTAATTAACATTAATTAACAAAGACCTATTTTTTAAAACTATTTTAAAAGCACACCAGATCATATTTAAATGAAAGTCATTATTAGACTCATTACAATTGCAGAACTAAATTATGTCCTTTCTTCCGCTAAATATATTTTGATATTTGCATGTACCACTAGCTCCAAACTGGATTACTGTATGTCTCTGCCAAAAGACTTTTCAGACAGGCACTGTATCAAAAGGCTTCATTAAATTGTAACACCAGGCATAATATTCGTGCTCTAAATGCTGAGGGCTCCATTAATCCCATTTTGTGCATTTACCATTGCCTTCTGATTCACACAACTTTAAAATGCTGAAACCTCTGTCTTCTCAGAAAATTCTGTGATGTGGTATGTGGACTAGGCTGATACTGGGGAATACCATCATGTATTGGCCACATCCTTCTGCTATCCATCTTTGATTTCTTTTCAGAAATTGAGCTTTACTTGCAAAAAAAAAAAAAATACTGCTTTCCACATTAAAAATCAGAAGCTTTGAAGGGCTGAGAAACAGACATGCGCCCTCATTTTCCTTTCCAATGCAAAATACGCTTTCCTGGGCATTTTAACGAAACAGATGGTAGGTGCTAAGCCCCTGTACACGGCTTTCTCACTCACTTAGTGTCAGCACACATCTAAAAGGATATATTTCTAATAGGTGCCTTTTGATGCCCAATTGCTCCGGGAGCCCCTGCGGGATGCACGGCCCGGCCGGAGGAACCCAAAGAGCAGGGAGCCCGCAAGAGAGGCGCTCCCGGTGTGCGGATGGCACGGGATTGATTACGCACCAGGGGAGACGACGCAATTATAAAACACTGGCCCCGCATTCGCCTGCCCGTGCCCGCACGCAGGCGATCGCATCCCGTGGTTCTGCCTTTCCACGCACGACACCGAGATGCCGCAGGGACACACACACACACACACACGCACACACACGCACGCAGCCCCGCCACAGCCCCCGGCAGGACTGAGGAGCCGAGCGCTCGCCCACCGCGACCCTCGGGCGGGAAGGACCGTCACGTCCCGGACAAAGGCTGATGGAGACGGGCAGCCGCCCGCGCCGACCCCCGGCTGCTGCCGCCGGTGGCTGCGCGGGGTCGGCGCCACCCCCGGCCTTACCTGCGGCGGGCGGGGGCGGCCGGTCGGGCTCGTCCCGCTCCAGGGTGACGGCGCCGTCCCGCCAGACGCGGAGGTGCGCGGCCGCCGCCCCCAGCCTGGCGGCGGGGGTCTCTCCGCGGCGGGCGCGCAGCGAGGCGCAGCACTGGTAACACACGGCCCACGCCTGCTCCTCGTTGATGGGCTGGTTGTAGAGCCGGAGGATCTCCTCCAGCGACAGCGCCTCCGGCTGCCCGCCGGACCCGCCGCCGCCGTCCTCCTCCTCCTCGGCGGCCGGGCGGGAGGCGCCGGGCTGGGGCTCCATGCCCTGCGTCCGCCGCGGGGCTCCTCGCTCAGTGACCGGCCCCGCCGCGGCGGCGGCGGCTGCTGATGCTGCTGCTTGCGCTGATGCCGCTGCTGCTGCTTGTGCTGCTGCTGCCGCCCGGTCCCGCCGTGCTCATCCTCTCCGCCCCGCTAGTACCACCAGGCCGCCGGACGGACAGCCCGGCCCGCGCGGCAGGCAGCAGGAGCCAGGAAACAGGCAGGAGTCAGGAGGAAGGCGAGCACAGGATCAGCGCCCGGTCCGCCCGCCGCCGCCGCCGCCGCAGGGGGAGCGACAGCTCATAGCAACGCAATGGCGTCCTCGTCCTCGCCCGCCCCCGCCGCGCGGCGCCGCCCGCCGCCGCAGCGCCCCCTGCCGGCACGGCCGCCACGGCACGCGGGGGATCCACCCGGGGCTGCCGCGGCGACCGCTCGGCTTCCAGCTCCCGGAGACACCGACGGACCTGCGGCACTCGGCCCACGGCCCTCGGGACGCCGCTTCTGCGCCGGGTGTCGGTAACCACCACCCCCAGAAACAAGCAACTCCCGGCGGGACGTGGGATGACACTCCCTGCACCCCCAAGTGTTGAACACATGACACCAACCCGCGCCATCACGGATACAGCGAAACGTAGCAGGGCCCCGCTTTCATAGCGGGAGGGTGAGTGCCTTTGAATCACAGGGTCTGCCCTCCCAAAGCAAACTTCCTCCGGGAAAGCTCCATCCTCGGCAGCATCAAGGCTGGAAACGTCCACGGTACATAGAGAGGCTAGCGGAGTTAAACCAGCCCAGGCGAGAAGGGGAACAACAAGGAAATCGTCCTCCAAGCCGCTGGGAACTGACGTCCCTGCCCCTGGACACACCTGAGCACCAGAAGAGCACAGCCCTTCATGCCAGCTTCACCCCAGGCAAACGAGCACTTTCACGCAGAGCACCATCAGACTAAATAAGCTGGAGCTTACACCGAACACT